GCTGCGCCGGGCCGGCGCGCGCGACAAAATAATTTTTTAAAGCACCCGTTTTTGCCGCGGGGCCGCCGCCACTAAGCAAGTCTTTTGAAGAAAAGCTTGTTGCAGCAAGAGTGGTGGCGCGACTAAGCAGAGTACGGCAGTTGAAATTCGCGATCACAAGAGTCGCGCCGCGACATCGTAAAGTCACCACGACTCTTAAAAATTCCTCTTCTCTCTAGATAAGAATTTTTCAGGATCCCGCCGCGACTTCGCGACTCAATAGCGATCGCGCCGCGCAAACGGGAGTTCATAGCGATCGCTTGCGTGACATCGCGTACGCGCCGCGACTAGGGCGCGAGAGTCGACCTGGGTAGTTGATATCTTGGTTTACGATGTCAGTAAGCTACCGACAATGCAAAAGCGAACGGAAGGGGAGTTTTTTCCGTTTTCTTTCAACTCTCCTCCTTACTTTTCTAATTTAAAATGTCGATGATCGGCTTTTAGGAAAGTAATGAGCAGAGTTATTAGAGATGCACTGTGGAAAATAAACGGTCGTAGAACGTGTCCTAGTTATTCCCTAAACATGTCCCTGCATATGTGGCATTTTCTGCTTCATCTCTTTCTCGTAAGTACGTGAAAATCAAAAAACTAACATTAATTCCTGTGAGTTCAAACTCGTCAACAAACTTTACTCTTTCCCGCTAGTCAGTTCTGCCATGCCTGTGATAGTAACTATAGAACTGCCACTTTTATGAACGTATCTTGCTTCTGATTCGTCCGTTCCAGTGACATCAATCGTGAAAATTATTTATAGAAAAGCAAAGAGGATTTTCTAAAAGATAATAAAAAGATCGGTTTTAAATAATAATAAAATTGTTCGAATGATATAATAAACGCTAGCATTTTAAATACTCACTTTGCTAACATGTGTACGATGGATGAGGCTGATTATTTTAGGAATATCCATCAAATTAGAGATGTGCAACCCGACCCGTATCCAACGCGATCCGAAGGTTGTATACGGATACGAAGTTGTCGGTACGAGTCGGGTACGGGTTGCGTTTTTTTTATTTATCCGAAAGCCGTAAGGTTTTAGTAAAAACTACAAAGCTTTAGTGGAAAATACAAGATTTTAGCTAAAATACATGAAGTTTTAAAATATAGTTACTTGAGAACGTAATGATAATTTGTCATCTCCAGCCGAAAAACAAAAGTTTTTACTTGGAAAACGAAAAGGAGAAAATTTTTAGGCATAAGTCGGGTACGGATACAAAGTTCTCAGGTCGGTCGGGTACAGGTACGAAAACGATCTTGTAACCTGTCTCTATTATGCCATATTTACCCTTCTTCTCTTCAGTTCTTGTTCTTTTTTTTCTTTTTCTGATTTTGATTTTATTTGTTATACTTTTACCTTCTCATTTTCTTCTTTCTGGTCGTTCACTTTCTTATTGTATGTATGTTGTGCGCATGTATTCTGTGTATATGTTTTTATGAGGACTACGCGATTACAATTACAAAATGTAGAGTTCAAACACTGCTATTATTCCTAGAATCCAGAACTTTGCATATGTAAAGTTAAACTTTACATGTTCAGAATTCTTACATATATTAAAAGTTGCACACTCACCCTCACCCCCACCCCTATCATTACATTCTCAAGTAATTCTTTTTTTAAACTTTCATGTATTTTAACTATACTCCTATATTTTTTTACTAAAATTTTGTGGGTTTTCCACTAGAACCTTCCGGTTTTCAGGTAAATTAAAACAAAATAGAACCCGTAGCCGTAACTGCTCTACCCAAACCCAGCCTTCGAGTTGGGTCGGGTACGTGTATATTTTACACGTTCCATTTCGTTAAAAATTATTTGAATGAGTCGAAAACTTCAGGATGTACAGCATTTAGGCTATCCTATATTCTATTTTTAAGGCATCTAAGAAAGGACTTACAAAAGCGTCTTGGTCTGCCACGAGCTTTCTGGAAAGCTTTTATTCCAAAACAAAAATTTTTCAATCGTATAACCAAGTTTGATGGGCAAAGGTATGAAGATCCTAATGTTTTCAACTCATTCTCATATTTTTGGCGTGAACTGTGAGTTGGTTAATATTAGATGAAAACAGACCCAAAAGCTAATTTTTATAAGGCTCATCAGAATTTTGAACTCTTCTCCCAAAACAAACATCGCAAGCACATTCAATGTGATCGATTATGTAAGTTCTATGCAGTTTCAAGGACAATTATATATGAACAATTATCCATCGATTGGAAAAGAATCAAACAAACTTGAAAACTGAATCTTCCTTCGACACCCTTTGGAGAAACTCAGCGGAAAAAGTATTAAACATTATGAAACAGAAGTTTTTCTCCTCTTTACAGAACCGTGTCTCGGCTCTCCACTGGTAATTGTGCGAGCAAAAAATCTTTCCATAAAGACTGACTGTCAGCGGTAGTCCACAATGTTCATCATTATCTTCAAGAAATAGTTTTGTAATCGTGTAGCTTTGTTTTATTTTTTAGACGTTTGAATAGAATCATGGGTAGAGGTGCAGACAGAAAGAGAAAATGGAGAGTGAATAAGAGGTTACAAGGTTGGTCCTGGCGTGAGATTATGCATGCTAGTTCTCGTCATGGATATTTATGTTCTAACAGCAATTGCCTGTCTAAAGTAATCACTAGTAATCGTTCAAATGAGCAAATGTTAACAGTTAAGGACAAAGTAATTCAAGAACAAGCCCAGACAAATGATGACATAGTGAAAATAGATGACATGTTGCAAAATCAATCGAAAGCAAAATTTCGAGATGAAAAGACTGAAACTTCAACATCGGATGATGAATCGGAACAAGAATATCAAAATAAAAAGGTTTTTATAATAAAAAGAAAACCTTTGCTCGATGGGGCTAAAAGACTTGAGAACATTCTTCAACAACTTGATGACAGAAAAAGGCGACTTGCTGTAAGACGAGAAAATTCTCATAAATTTAGAGAAAAATTGATGAAAAAATATAATCGACAATGTGTAGTTACAGGTGAAACAATTGCATTGGTTTTAGATGCTGCACATATACGTAGTTACAATGGTAAATATTGCAATGATGCAAGTAATGGATTAATATTAAGAACAGATATACATAAGTTATTTGATAACGATTTGTTGAAATTGGTACCAAATCAGTTCGGAACAGTTGTAGTTGAAGCTGATTGTTTACTAAAAAGTTCATCAATATACAAAGCACTAAATGGAAAAATTTTGACAAGTATTAATGATCCGTTAACAATCACACTTCTTCGTGCTCATTATTCAGACGAACTACCATGAAATACAATACTATTGATATAGGTACGATTAACTATCTAAAACAATATTCCGTTCTGTAAAAACCATTCAAAGAGAAAATGAGTGTACTTTCAAGTTTTGAAACTACTTGCTTTGATTTCAGCATTGAAAACTGAGTATAGAGAAGATGTATGATTAATCTCAAAGCTAAAACCTGATTTAGCCTGCCTGGTCTTGAACTGACCCTAACGCGACATCAGGTTATTTTGCAAACCTATCTAGTTTTTTGTGTGAATATATTTTGTCATTTCTCTTATCTCATTCCAACCGCCAAACTGTCAGCTTTAACAAGACACATCGATTTGTTTTAATTTTGTTTCCTCACTGAGAAAATTCATTTTTTCTAGATCAGAAGCAAAAAAATCAGAATTCTGCCCATAATTCTCATTTTTCTCCACCAGAACTCAGTTTTTCTGTAATAAAATTATCATATTCAGAATTGCCATCAAAAGCTGAGTCGAATGATATATATTTCAAATTTCATTTTTTCGTGAAAATGTCAGGAATTTTTCGGCGTGAAAATTTGAAAAAAACGAAAGTTGTCGCATATATTAGTTATTGGGGCCTGAAAATTAATAACCTTAGTTTTGGGCGTAAAATCGAACAGACACGTTTTCAGAGTAACTCTTTTCCGACAATGTTATAGGGTTTCTGGATTCAGTGGCGAAACCGCTCTTAAAACTATTGCTGGTGCTCTTTATTTATTGATAGGTTTCACATTAAAAAAAATATGTTTTACTTCTTTTTTTGATTTCCTGTTGCCTCGGTCATTTTCGCTCTTTTTCTAGCAAATCATACAGAGAGTGTTCATAAACGGTTAAATTCTCCTATTTGCTGATTTTCGTTTTTCTCCTGTTTGAAAGAACCTATGGCGTTTTTGTTTGAATAGATAGAGATGATAGAAAATTTTAGGAGCTACAAACCGAGATAAAAAAAAGATCTTGATTAAAACTTGAAAGATGTTTCGGTTTCTGCTCGAGATATTATGCAGATTTTCGAATATCTGATAAGATCCTAATATCATTGGACAGTTCAAGATTTCTGTTATACGGCTTGTCCGGAAAAAACTTGATCGTATTTCTAGCTCATTCGGATGAACCAATTAATTAGCTAGAATCTTAACAGATTTTCGGTATTTTTGGGATTATTAGGTATTATTATCATCAGTTACTTTGATTTTTTATGTTCTGTACATCACATAAATTGTAGCATTCTCTAATTTTGTATATCCGATGTGTATCTATCTACCCACGGCGATTTTGAATTCTAACTTGTCTATACGCTCATTCGAATGTTTTATTGTATAAGCACGTACATATAAGAACCAACTGAAAAAGAAACAGAATCGGATGTAACTCAGAGTGACAAGAAAGAAGCACGAAAAGAAAATATATGAGTAATCAGGTGTTTGTCGCAGTTCTAATATATATACCGTATATATCTTAGAACTTGGCTTGTCCAGCTAAAGGAGTGGCTTTTTTTATTGAGAATATTATTTAGAAACAAAACAATCACATAAATGTTTTTTTAACAACGCTAGGTGTTTGATCACACACCTTTTTTCGGCGTGACATTTTATACCACATTTCACGCATTTAGCTCGACATGAACAGGTTTTAGTCACCCAATCCCGTTCAGAATTGCAATCGTTTACAAATTCACGTCAAAAAAAGTGTGTTCAAATGCCTAATATTGTTAAAAGATATTTATGTGATTGTTTTGTTGCCAAATAATATTCTCAATAAAAAAGAGTATTCCTTTTACTATCAGCATCGTGTGAGTCAAATTTTATTTTCCACTGTAGTGGAGATTGAAATATGAGGGTTAGCCATTCTTGCCTAGTGGTATTCAACATCCCAGTATAATGATTATAATTTTATTCTCTACTAGTTGAACTTAAAATTTCAATTTCCACTGACAAGAATCCATAGAAAAGTGAAATTTTAAGCTGCACCAGCGGAGGCTGATATTTTAATTTTCACTAGCGGAATTTTAAATTTCACCGTAACATATTCAGCATATACATTCTCAAAGTTGTTTTCGTTTTTTGTGCGACCTAGTCTATCCTTCTTTTTTCTTGTAGCAAGAATTTCCTTTTTATGTAAATATATAATCTATTCAACAAAGGTAATTTTTAGGTTTGTGAAAAATACATCAGTCTTAGTTCAAAATGTATCATTTTTTTTTCTTTAAATATTTCTTTAAATTGTTTTTCATTGCTTTTCTTTTTGTCTGTTATTATCAAAACAAGAATAAATAAAAACAAAAAGAAATTTTGAAAGATCTAGATAAAGAAGATAATCGAGTCTATTTTGCATTGAAAGAGCAGATCATAGATAAGTAACCTAATAAAAATTGACATATGAACACGTCATTCAAAGTCTTACAAGATCTGATGTTATATAAAATGTCATAATAAGATCTTATGATGTGGTTTTATGATTTGCAAGATCAGCCTACAAGTAACACGATCTTACATGAAATCTTGTGATAAGTTTGCTGAGCTATAATTATTTTCTTGTTATAATACGATCTAACAAAATTTTACAAGATTGTTGACTCAGAAATTTTACTACGATATATAGTATATATCAGAGATCAGCACGAACCGGGTCGAGCTTGGGTCGCAAAGTCGGATCGGGTCGGACCGAACTCAGAATTTTTAAGCATGCGTGGATTTGTAATTTATGTCTATACTCAGTACCGTGAAAGAGCATTACACTGTTACGCGATATCTTAATGACTTCGTTTAGCTAATGCCTTTAAAAGTTGAAAAAATGAAAACTAAGAAATCATAAAAATATAAATATTAGCTTAATAAATACATTTACAAAAAGAAATTTTGAAAGATCTAGATAAAGAAGATAGTCTAGGTCGCACAAAAACCGAAACCGCCTTTGAGAATGTATATGCTGAAT